TTCAAATCCGACATATATGAAACCAAGCATATTATCTACCTCAGTTCTTTTACCCTGCATTCCTCATTTTCTCCTTCTCCTCTGCCCAGCCCATGTACTTATACAGTCACTATACCCTGCCAATTCTACCTCCTAAGCATCTCTTTGCTATGTCCCTTCCTTCATCCTCCCTTCTGATTTAATTATACCTTCATCATTTTTCATCTGGACTATTACAACAGCCTGTTAACTGGCTTCTCTGCTTTGTGAAAGGAAGAATCAACCTTCACATCAGAGTAATCTACAATGCTATTTTCATCTAGGCATAGGTCTTTCACAGCTTAAAATCCCCAAGGACTTCCCACTGCCTGGAATCTTAATTATTATGCAATTTACACTTGATCTATACTATCCATTATCTACCCTTGCTTCCTGTGAGAACAAGTGCTCCAGGTGGAACCAAATTACCTACCCAGGCTACCCACTCTGCTGGCAAGCCTTCCCCTTCCATGAAAGCCTACAAAATTCCTGGTCAATATTTAAGGCTTAGCTCATTTAGGTGACAGCACAGCAGTTAAGAGTGCCAGACCTGGAGCAAGACTGCCTGAGTCTGACTTCAGCTCATATTGGCTGTTACAACCTTGGGCAAGTTATTTAATCTCTCTGAACCTCAGATCTCCTTTACAAACTAGAAAGTAGCAGCTACTAAACAGGGATTTGAGAATTGAGTGAGTATATGGAAAGTACCTGGCCCACAGTAAATGCTAAATCAGTATGCAGCTATCATTATGTCTTCACTACTTCTCCTTCTCCCAAAAGCAAACACTCCCTCCTTTGTACTTCTATGGTACTTTATCACAAGTCTGCCTCTACACTGTGATGGTCTTAGGACAGGAACTTTCTTTTTCCTTTGCCAACATTCATCTTCTTATCCTCTGCCAACATAATCGATGTCACATTTTTATTTTAAGTATCAATAAATGTGGAATATGCTCAAACTAAATGCTGTGCAGGTACCAAAGAAAATGCCAACACGTGGCCAAGTCTCCAAAGATAAATCAACTTTCAAGTGGAAAAAAAAAAAAAAAAGGTGAGGAAAAAAAACAACAACAACACTCTGCCACGTTAATAGGCATAGATAAAGCAGACATTAAAGTACCCTGGCAATGACAAGCAGACTAGAATATGTCTAGTGGGACAGAAATACTGAGAAATGAAGCCAGCCTGAAAATGTCATGAACGGTGTTTAATGCTAGCCCAAGGAATTTGAACCTTACTGCAAGAAGAACTGGGTCCAGGTAAATGCTTCTGACTAGTGTCGTTATATGATTTAATCATTTAAAGTCAGGAAACTTTAAATAATGTCAAGCTGGACTGGAAGGTAGACAGAAAGGAGACATAGACTAATGACAGGTAAGAAATAGCAAGGACATTAAGGGGGACCATACTCATTAAAGATGGGCTAAACATTTTTGAGATGAAATTAACTGGCCTTGGGGACACCTGGGTCAGTAAAGTGTCTGCCCTCAGCTCAGGTCATGATCCCAAGGCATCAGGCTCCCTGCTCAGCGGGAAGCCTGCCTATCCCTCTGCCTGCCACTCCCCCTGCTTGTGCTCTTTCTGTGACAAATAAATAAATAAAACCTTAAAAAAAAAAAATTAACTGGCCCAGTGACTATTCTGATATGGAGATGAAGGACAGGATTCAGAAGTTTCTTGCCTGCATGACTGGAAAATGATAATATGACAAAGATGAGAGATAAAGAGGGAGGAGGAAGGCTAGGAATCCAGAAGAGGTGTAGTTACTCCACCTGAAGTAATTCTGAAAACAGTAAACATATTATTTACAATTAAAAGCAAATGCTAAGCAAATTATGCCAACAATGTGTTGGCACTCACTGCTTTTATTTAACAAGCACATCTGAGCAAACTGTGTCCAGTTCAAAAGGCTCATTTGTTTACTAAATAATATGTTACTGTCCTTCGTTTTGGGGAAAAAGGGCCTACTATGTAGAGGTATGGCTGAAGAGTGGCCAGTAATTTTCAATATTGTGTATTTCTTAAAGCCTGCTTTTTAAGTTTTCACAAGACAGTATTTTTTTTAAGGCAATAAGATTCTCTTCTGATCCAAAAATCATGGTGAAAATTTAAGGCTGCTTAAGAATGTATTTAAAAATATTAACTTTAATTTTGCTTACTTGTTGCTCTGTAGGAATGCTTACATTATTTTTGAATCTGTGACTTATATTAAAATTTCTACTGAGGGGCACCTGAGTGGCTCAGTGGGTTAAAGCCTCTGCCTTCGGCTTGGGTCATGATCTCAGGGCCCTGGGATAGAGTTCTGCATAGGGCTCCCTGCTGGGCGGGGAGCCTGCTTCCCCCCTCTCTCTCTCTGCCTGCCGCTCTGCCTACTTGTGATCTCGTCAAATAGATAAATAATCTTTTAAAAAAAATTTCCTATTGATACATGCACTTCATGCTTTTTCTCTCTCAAGAGTTTCTTAAAAGGCTGAACACAATAACCTAAAATAAAAGTACAATGTCTAAAAGTTCTAATTATGGCAATCTATTTCTATCAGAGCAAACACAATATAAGGAATTTAAACAGGCCAGATATTTGTTCCTGAGATGATGGAACAGCAGGATAATTATGCAGTTGTAATCAAACTTCAGCGCACAAAAGAATCTTCTTGGGTGCTTGTTGAAAAAGTAGTATATGATAATTACACAGGATTTAAAAAAAGAAGTAGTTATCTGTCCTTCTCCCTACTTCGGGAGATTCTGATTTACTAGGGCAGGGCCCAGAAACTTGTTTTATTTTCCAAACACCCCAGGTGATTCTGAAGCAAATGTTTCAAGGCCACTTTGAGAAATACTTGTACTGGCTCTGGTATCAGAAACATGGTTTAAAGTCCACCTCTCCCCCTCATTGGCTGTGTGACCTTACACGCTTACTTAGTTTCCCCAAGGTTCAGATTTCTTATCTGTAAAAGTTTCATAAGGATGATGAGAGAATATAATGAAACAATGCTTATACAGTACTTAACACAGTGCCCACCTATAATTATTACTATGATTCACCCATTTCCACAGGACAAAAAATAAGGAAGAACTGGACATATATACGTATTAACCATGACAACCTAAATGCTTTGTAATTCATGGTAATGTTTTTTTTTCATTTCCTTCTGGTAAGGCACGCTCTTTGTCTCTCTTTCCCTTTAATTTTGTAATACATGAAAAAAGTTTTTAAACATATTACATTACATGCTTCAAGTTTTTTTTTTTTTTTTGCTTCAAGTTTTATAAACAAATCTTACCAAAGGCATAAGGCAATGAAAGCAAATATTAACCAGAAAATACTCTGCTTTTCATATCAAAATAAATACTCAAAAAATTAATACTTTTATTGAACATTAGCCAGATTTTACAGAAGAGCAAATTGTTTGCTTTTTCTGGTAGACCATAAAAATTAGAGACAAAGTCATCTAAATAAAGAATGCCAACTGCTTTATATTTAGAAAAATCAGTTTAATTGTACTATAATCAATTCATCTCCTTTCATTACACAACTCTACTGTCTTTCCTATTTTAAAATCCAAAATGTAATTTTTCAAAGATTTTATTTATTTGACAGAGAGAGAGATCACAAGTAGGCAGAGAGGCAGGGAGGGGGGGAGAGAGTGAGAGAGAGAGAGAGAAAAGCAGGCTGCCTGCTGAGCAGAGAGCAGGGTGCAGGGCTTGATCCCAAGACCCAGAGATCAAGACCCCAGGTGAAGGCAGAGGCTCAACCCACTGAGCCACCCAGGTGCACCACCAAAGTGTAATTTTTAAGTGGCCATCTAATGCTACTTTCTTATCCCAGAACATATAGATACACATCTGCAGTTTTTTAAAACTCACTAGAAACTAAACTTTTTAGAAATAACCAGAAATCCTATATGATGCTTTCATACACTAAATTCTAAATGATGCTTTTGTGTAAACTGAGAAATTTATTAAAACATCATTTATAAAAGTAAGCAGCCCCCTCTGTTATCCTTCTTACCATCTGAAAACTTTTAAAGCTCGCCAGTTAATACTAACTACCTCATCTTTTATTTAAAAAACAGTAATATCCTACAAGAATATTTTGTCACCTGCCAAAAATCGACTAACTGATGTGTCTCTCACATTACCTAACATGAATAAGTAAAGGCAAAATGGAAAACTGAAGTGCAGGCTGTTAAATGTGATGGACCCAAGGAACCTTGCTGAGCTGCAATCACCGTATATCAATATTTTTCAAGCGCTTACTTGTACAACGTACCCCCCCGCCAGCTTCAGACAAAGCAAAAGAGGGGAGAGAAGAGGAGGAAGGAATCAGAGCCTGGAGGCCCTTTCTTAAGTGGCAGGCAACTGGCCTCAAACCACCACCGAGGGAACTCCGCAAAAAAATGTATGTTTTTGGATATTAAGAAACGTGAAAGCACCATGAGCTTCCAGCACTTTGCAAAATCTGGTAGGATACTGGAGAAGAGTTAAGGTTCGGCAACCGTAAAATTCCTTGCAAACGGGTAATTTACAAAAAGCCTGTACAGTATCTGTTTTAGAAGGTGAGAAAAGTGGGAGGCAGCGGGTTCGACGTCCACAACGGGAGAAAACTGAGGGTGCCACCACAAAGGTCTGAGAATGGGTTTTCATTGCTCCTCAAAGCGTCGGGGGCTGGGGGGTAAGGATCCAGCTCCGGCCTCCACTTCCACTTCCCACCTGCGCCCCAAGCCGGGCGGGGGAGGAGGTCCAAGGGAGGGTCTGAGGCGGGGCGGGGGACAAGAAAGCTGCTGTGGGTCCCCAGGAAATCAGAACCGAGCGGCCCCGAGGGAGGAACGGCTGCAAGAGGGCGGGGCGCAGTGCAGCGAGGAAACCGAAAGGAGGACGCCGGGGAGAAGGTGCAGCGCGACTGGGGACCCTTCCTGGTACCACACCCAGGGGCCAAGGCGGGGGCGAAAGAGTCCCGTGAGCGAGAAGAAGGCAGAACTTACTCCGCGGTCCTCCTCCGAGAGGAAGTCGGGGCCGTCGTCCAGGCCTTCCTGCGAGGTCGCCGGACCCGACGCACCAGAGGAAAAGATGGAGTTGGGGAGACACAAAGGGAGACATTAGTGCTAGGCCGGCGCGGCCCCCGCGCCCGCCCCGCGCCCCGCGCCCGCCGCCCCCACCGCGCGCCCGGGGCTCGGCGCCGCTGGAACACCCACCATCATGGCTGCTCCGAGGCGAGGGCCAGCGCACGCGCGTACCGCACCGCGGGGCCGGAGGGAGCCGGCAGCAGCTGGAGAGGCGGGGCTGGTGGCGGCAGGAGGAGGCGGGGTCTCGGAGCAGCCTGCCCCGCCCTGCCCTGGCGCGGGGGGCGGGGGGCGGTAAGCAGTAGGAAAGGGGAAAGCAGGGCCCTCCGCCCGAGGTTGGAGCACCCCAGTCGGAAAGGGCCCGTAGGCCCAGACCCACATGGCTGCGGGCAGGTCGCGGCTGGCCGGCTCTGAACCGGAAGGGGCCGAATGCCACCTGGGGAGCTGTCCAGTTTCCTTTCCCTTAGGGCTGCAGCGGAAAAAAACAAAAAACAAAAAAACGAGCGTCCTCCGGAAGCCACAATAAATCGCCTAGTCTTTGTATTATGCTACACAATAATTAATCACAATTAATATTTTGCCTATAGAAATTGTGGGAACTAAGGGCCTTCGCACAGTGAGCTGTAATCAAGCTTTTACGGTTGGTGAGGTAATAACCCCAGGGTTTAGGGTGCTAATGGTTAAGGACTATAAAAGTGAGCTGTTCGTGTTACAAGAGCATTTCTTTCCTTTTTATGAACGAGCGCCTCCAGACCTACTCTTAACTGTGGACAGCACCACATGGGTGTCCACAGGCAATTTAAAAGACGGGACAAAATCATTCCTTGACCTTTGCCCCATGTCACCTTTTACGCACGCGGACACACGCGCAAACGTACATGCCATCCTTGTGCTTCCAGTCACTTAATGGCATCGGCATCCTTCCACTTTTCAGACCAGAAACCTCCATGTCCTATTCACATCCTTCCTTCTTCTCCCTCACTTGTCACTCCATTTAGTAACAGACTCTGTTGCATCTGTAATTTATTGTCTCATCTCTTAAATTGGTCGTAGTCCTCCCTCTCCTCCCTTCCACAGCAATTACCGTCAGTTTCTGTCTGGACCCTTGCAATACTCTCTTAACTTTTCTTATTTTCATCTCTACATCCTGCCACCAGTAGTTTGTTTTCTATCTTTCTTTCTTTCAAGATTTTATTTATTTGACAGAGAGAGAGGAGCACAAGCAGGCAGAGCAGCAAGTAGAGAGAGAAGCAGCTCCCCGCTGAGTAGAGAGCCCAATGGTGGGGCTCCATCCCAGGACTCTGGGATCATGACCTGAGCTGAAGGCAGATGCTTAACGGACTGAGCCACTCAGGTGCCCCTCCAGTTTTCCTCCTAAGACACAGACATCAATGATAAGGCTGCTAGCCTGTCCATGATCTTTACACATTTTTATTACATTAAGATCCAACTCCTCTGCCTAGCATTTAAGCCCTCCACACTCGACTATCTCCCTATTCTACCAGGCCCTCTGTCCTATCTTGTTGAATTGAAGCTCTTAAAACAATAATGTTAAACTATTAATAATTTCTTGAGAACTTCTTGTAGCTTTCATTTTGTATGTAAGGAGAACTGAGGCATAGAAAAGTTAAGTTACTGCCCAAACAAGGGTTCTTCTCCACTTGGGTGGGGCGTGGCTTTATTTTTTGTCTTTTGTTTCTTGTTTTCCAGGGCATTGTAGTAACTACTGGAGGAGTGCCCCCTCCCCCGGGGAGTCATGAGGCATCATGCGGTGTCAGTATAGTGTGATGAAGTGTCAGGAGGAATGTTCTAGTAATTTGTTGCTGGTGAAAAGTGCCAATATTTCCTATTTTGTTTTTGGATTGAAGGTAATTCCTGTAGAGCTCTGCTTCCTAGATGAAGAGAGAATGGAGCTACAGTTAATGAATGGGATTTGCATACAGCTGATAGGAGGGTAAGTGTGTCCTATGGACAAAGGTTGAGAAGTGTCACCTAGGACCACCTAAATGTCTCTGATCATTAACCAAGGGTTTCAAGACTTAAGCCAAGACCGGAAACATTGTACAGAAACACTCAAATTATCAAATGTTAAACTTAGAAATCACTATTTAAAAACAAGATTTAAAATACCAGTAGCCAAGGGGCGCCTGGGTGGCTCAGCGGGTTAAAGCTTCTGCCTTCGACTCAGGTCATGATCCCAGGGTCCTGGGATCGAGCCCCACATCAGGCTCTCTGCTCAGCGGGGAGCCTGCTTCCCTTCCTCTCTCTCTGCCTGCCTCTCTGCCTACTTGTGATCTCTTGTCTGTCAAATAAATAAGTAAAATATTTAAAAAAAAATAAATAAAAATAGGGGTGCCTGGGTGGCTCAGTGGGTTAAAGCCTCTGCCTTCGGCTCAGGTCATGATCCCAGAGTCCTGGGATCGAGCCCCGCGTCGGGCTCTCTGCTCAGCAGGGAGCCTGCTTCCTCCTTCTCTCTCTCTGCCTGCCTCTCTGCCTAATTGTGATCTCTGTCTGTCAAATAAATAAAATCTTTAAAATAAATAAATAAATAAAAATAAAATATGAGTAGCCAAATAAAATTATCAACAAAGACATTTAATAATTACTGCAGTTAAAATCAATGGCTGATGGGGCACCTGGGCGGCTCAGTGGGTTAAGCCTCTGCCTTTGGCTCAGGTCATGGTCTCAGAGTCCTGGATCAAGCCCTGCATTGGACTTTCTGCTCGGCGGGGAGCCTGCTTCCCCCTCTCTCTCTGCCTGCCTCTCTGTCTACTTGTGATCTCTCTCTCTGTCAAATAAATAAATAAAATCTTAAAAAAAAATTCAATGTCTGAAGGTGCCTGGGTGGCTCAGTCATTAAGCATCTGCCTTCGGCTCAGGTCCTGGGATTGAGCCCCACTTCGGGCTCCCTGCTCTGTGGAAAGCCTGCTCCTCCCTTTCCCACTCCCCCTGCTTGTGTTCCCTCTCTCATTGTGTCTCTCTCTGTCAAATAAATAAATAAAATCTTAAAAAAAAAAAAAATCAATGGCTGAAAACTCACATGAGTAGAGAACCCAGCCTTGAAATAATAAAGTTATTCATTAATACCTGAGCCTATCTATCTGGGTAAAGGTCTCAAACTATACTTAGTAAATGATAAGAAGGAATTATCAGTAACAGATACTAACAACTATCAGAAAGGCAGTTACAGGGGTGCCTGGGTGTCTCAGTGGGTTAAGCCTCTGCCTTCGGCTCGGGTCATGATCCCAGGGTCCTGGGATTGAGCCCCACATCAGGCTCTCTACTCTGCGGGGAGCCTGCTTCCTCCTCTCTCTCTGCCTGCCTCTCTGCCTACTTGTGAGCTCTGTCTGTCAAATAAATAAATAAAATCTTAAAAAGAAAAAAAAAAGCAGTTACAGAGTTTAAGGAATATCAAAGGAAAAAAGATTAAAATTAGCTCACACAACAGATTTTTCTGCTACTTACAGAATAAATTGAGAAGATATTAAAACTGAACCACTTCTCTAGTACTTTTTTTTTAAGATTTATTTATTTATTTTAGAGAGAGAGAGACACACACACACACACACACACAGCATGAGTGGGAGGGGCAGAGGGAGAGGGAGAGAAAATCCCAAGAAAGCCCCACACCAAGCATGGAATCTGACATGGGGTTCGATCCCAGGACCCTGACTGAGATCATGACCCGAGCTAAAACCAAGAGTTAGTTGCTTAACTGACTGTGCCCTCCCCCGCCAGGAGTCCCTTCCCTAGTACTTTTAGCCAAATAATCAATTTTTCATCTTGCTTTGATACATTTTTGTGAAATTACCTTCTTCTATATAAATTTCACAAGCATATTGTGTTGAATCACAATCTGATTTTTTTGTTTTTAAGATTTTATTTATTTATTAGACAGAGATCACAAGTAGGCAGAGAGGCAGGCAGAGAGAGAGAGGAGAAAGCAGGCTCCCCGCCGAGCAGAAAGCCCGATTCAGAGCTCATGGGATCATGACCTGAGCCAAAGGCAGAGGCTTAACCCATTGAGCCACCCAGGCGCCCCTCACAATATGATTATTTCATAGATTTAGCTACATAAAAATAAAATATTACAGTTTGGAGTAGATACTAAATAGTGTTTCAAAAACAAACTTATTGGAAGATTTTAGAGAAAAGTAAACTTTTAGAGAATAATAAACAAGTCACTTTTAAATTTTGGGAAAATAAAAAAATGTATTTGCTTCGAACATTTTTATCAAACAAAAACCAACTTTTTTTCTAGAAGAAAAACTTAAAAAATCTGAAATGATGATTATTTAATTAGGTTTAGAAGAAAACTGTTTAATTCCTTTTATCATGTTCTGATCAAAGAAAGTTTCACCAAAATGTATTTTTATCAACTCCTCATTTCCTTGAATTCTAGACCATTTCTTGTTTTGGACAACCTTTGGGTCCTAATTCTTCCCTTCTCCCTGGGAGTTATATTACAACAAAATTCTCTACAGAAAGGTTGCTGAACCCTGTTTTTTCCAGTTATATCAGTCAGGGTGTGTTTACCTACAAGTAACAGAAAACATCAATTCGCATAAACTGAGCAGTACAGAAATGTGTGATCTCACAACAAAAAATAAGGAGTCTCTAGGCATAGTACAGATCTTCCTCACTTTATGATGGTGTTACAACCTGATAAAACCATCATAAACTGCAAATACCATAATTGAAAGTTCATGTAATACACTTAACCTATTCAACATCGCGTAGCTTAGCCTACCCCACCTCAAACATGCTCAGAACACTTATATTAGCTACAGTTGGGCAAAAAGCATCTAACACAAAGCCTATTGTACAATAAGGGTTGAATATCTCATGTATTCATTGAATCTTTTACTGAAAGTGAAAAACAGAATGGTTGCATGGGTACAGAATGGTTTTAAGTGTATTGGTTGTTTACCCTTGTGATTGCATGGCCAACTGGGAGCTGTGGTTCATAAACCACACTTTATTTAAATAAATCAATAAGCAAGCAAACAATACAGATACCATATATAGAAGATCAAAAAATAAAGAGTCATGTCTCAGGAGAATGAAGGTGGAAAAGTGAATGTTCCAGAGATGAAAATTACTCTTAGAGAAACACAATCAACTCCCACTTTCCTGGGATTCAGCCCTGGGAATCAGTACCAGTCGTGGACCAGCTGAAATAATCTTGACCGTAGCGCTTGAGGACCAAGAGAAAAAGTGACATCATCTCTACAGAACCCTGACCCCAAGGCACATGCAGATGTATTGATTAATGTTCATACCTCTAATTCTATTTGGAAGAATTCC